CGGTCGGTCGAGTGAGTTGAGTTGAGGTGAGGTGAGGTGAGGTGAGGTGAGTTGTTGGGTTGAGTTTGCGTTAGGGTCAGTGGCAGTGAGAGCAGTGATGGATGCGATGCGATCAAAATGCCCAGCTCCCGGCTAGACAGCGGCCCTATCCGAGGGAGCCAGTGCTAGGTGGCTCGGTAGCGACCAGTCTCGCAGCTGCCAGAACAACAGCTCGCTCTAGGGATTGGAAAAGGGAGGGGGGTAGAAGGGAAAGGAGAGGAGAGGAGAGGAGAGGAAAACGCACCTATCATCGGCAATACCCGCCAGCGCATTATACCAAGCCAGAAAGGCGGCAAAGATGCCAAAGTAGCCCCCGGCCTTGATGCACGCCGACTGGGGCACGCCGGCGTCGCTCGCCTCGAGGTGGCCGACGGCCAGCATGAGGAAGGCGAGCGTGAGCGTGAAGAAGAGCATGAAGAAGGCGACGGTGGAGCGCAGGGTGCACAGCAGCAGGATGAAGGTGAAGATGAACCAGCCGGCGAGGAAGTAGCCGAAGGCGTTGTTGAAGTCGTTGACGCCGGCGCCCGTCGCGGCCCCGGTGCTGTCGGTGGGCGAGTAGGCGGCGGCGATGTCGAAGCCGCCCGGGGTGAGCAGGATGGCGAGGGAGAGCCAGAAGCCGCCGTAGGAGGAGAGGGCGGTGGCGCCGAAGGTGTTGCCCACGGCCATTTCCCTGTTGGGAGGTGTGAGCGATGCGCATTTTGTTGTCATCCAACTCGCTTCGCGGGTTGCAGAGCTCGGAAGCTATCATGTTACGTACCACATGCCCGCCAGCAGCTGGACGAGTCCCCCGTAGCCGAACGCGAGGGAAATGACAATATTCGACTGGCTCACACCACGCACGCCAATGTTGATCAAGGACAGGACAAACGTCGTCAGCGCGAAAGCGCTCAATCCGAGCGGGGCCGGGTTGGCAAATTTCCGCTCGGTGGTGGGCTTGTAGAGACCCGGTTGGAATTCTCCGCCGAAAGCTGGGAACCGAGCCGAATTGCCCGTGTTCATGTGAGCGAGGGGGTTTCCTCCATAGTTGTAGGCTCGCGGATGGGTGCCGTTGATGCCAGCTTTGGGCGCGGCGTGGTCGATCCCGCTGTCGTTGTGGTACTCCTTGAGTGTGGCGTCAGTGGATGTGGTGGTCGCCATTGTGAAATGCTCGAGGGTTGACAGCGGAGGAGTGTTTGTATATATATATATATAGGTATATATATCCTGATATACTCGGACTTGGCGAGGAAGTTGGGGAGCTGGTGCAATTGACCGACCAAAGCACAAGAACAAGACGATGCTCTACATCGTGCCAGACCGCGGGAAAGAGGGATGGATATATAGACTCCGGATGGCGGGGTAAACAAACTAGAGAGCCTGTCGATGCATCCGGGGTGAGCTCTCCGCTGAAATGGACGGTTGACGGGCTGGAAGCAGGACTAGCACCTCCTCAGCACCACTTAACCGAACTAACAACAACAGACGGTCAGTAAGTTTCGACAGAAGCAAATCATATCATATCCCACAGCAGCAGCACTCGTACCCGGGGCACGCATCTCACCACTTCACTACTACCACGGGTGCTGATCTTCCGCGAGTCCGTCGAGTCAGGGGGGGATCGGCATGGAGAACCGGGATCAGCAACGGCGTAGTCTACGATGTCCCCTTTGCCAGTAGCTCGCACGCCCGCTCTTCCTCTCGCTTTGGTAGTTGAAATGTCCTGTCCATCTCCATCTCTTTGTCCTGCCGAATGTCGTGAATGTCAGATGACATGCCCGCTATGGACTGCACAGACGAGGTCAGGTGTCTTGTCTTGTTGGAGTGTTGTCCGAGACATTATCGTGGTGGCGGTAAATTTGCCATTTGGTGAGAAAAAGCTAAGCTTCTCGCATCGTGCTTGGCTAGCCCGGCCCAGAGATCAGCGCATGGTAGGTATCTCGGCCGAGGGCAGGGCAAGGCGGCCAGGTCAGAATTCAGCGTGGAGAGTTCTGATGGAGATTCGTATCGAGTATTCAAGAGTAACAGATCATACAAGAACAAGAAGAATTCATTGTGAGGGCCATTCACTACGACCTCTTAGCTGAACGCGCGACAAAGATTGTTTATTTGGCTACTTACTACCTTACCGAGCCCCCACACCGCCGTTGATCTGTTTAGGTAATCTGTCCGAGGTCTACTAAGAGAATACATTCGTTATTATTCTAGAACTGCGACGTGCAACTGGAAACCGAACCTCGCTCATAACTTTAAACATGTAAACAAACCATGATCGCAAACGAGCTGTTCCCAATCTTCCAATCCGCCCCAAAGTAAATCAATCACGTCCGGCCCCCGTTTGAGAAGCCCGTGAACAACTAACCGAAATATATAAGCAAAAGACATCAATCCTCCAAGCCCAAGTTCGGAAATACAAGCGGGGAAAAGGCGGGGGTGATGGTAGATCTGGGGTAGACACTCTGCTTTGATCTCATTCATCTGCAAGTTCTCCTCTTCCCGCTTAGATTCCAAATCCCGGTAGAAACTCCAGAGCACCATATCACGCGTTCCGTTGCGAGAGAGCGTCTCGTGGCGTCCGGATTCCAAATTCCTGGCCGTCCCTTTATTCCGCAAGCTGCAAGCCTCGACCAGGTGACAACTATACAGATAGATGCCAGGCTCGAAGATCCCAAGATGTGCGCCGTCAATAGCAACGAAGCAGGTGAGACACGAGATCAAAATAACAATCAAGTACCTACCCAACATCATCCCTCTCTTCCCAATCTCTTACGATAAACATTCCGCCGAAGAAGGGCTGCTCAATCAGGTCACTGCTCGTCGCCCGTCTGCTTCTTCCCTTCGCGCCACCGCCGTCCCATTCATCATCAATATATTCTTTCAAACCAAGGCGATTTTCCTCCTCCAAACTTTTCCCTATCCCTGCTTTCAAAACCACCTCCCCCTTCCCAAAGCCACATCTCCGATCATCTGAGAGAGAGAGAGAGAGAGACCGGTATCCGTACTCCGTACTCCGTACTCCGTATTCCTCCTTACCTTTAATCATAACACCCCTCAGACTGTATACCACTCACTCACTCACTCACCCACTACCTGACCCGAAAATCGAGATACAGCGTCCGTCCGTCAGAACACACCTAACGCAGCAAGATAATCAGGAGAGAAATTTTTCACGATGGCATTATACATATATATACACACACACATATATATATATGAGATAGATAGATAGATAGATAGATAGATAGATGCATCACGAGATGAGATTCGCGATATGCAACAAAAGCACGTGAGCCCCGTGGATCCTATCCTAGGCCGTGCCTGCATCGAGACCAAAACTTCAAACGAGAGCAAAGCACACCACTCGCTGCTAGCTAGGTGATAAGATTCGGTCTGAAACAGACCGAACAACAGTGAAAGAGTATTGAGATCGATACATAGCGAGGTCGGGACGACAACAGTGAAAAAGTGTGATCCTTGGCGCCGATGAGTTTGAGGAGAGAAGAGAGAAGAGGGGGGGGATGGACTGCTAGGGCTAAGTTTTGGAGCAGCTAGCTTTTCAGAGCGGCAAAATAGGTATTTATTTCAATCTAAATAATGAATGAAAATTTAATAGTCGCTTGTCGTAGGTCCTAGGCTTGGGCTGCGCAGAGCGTACGATACGATCGTAGCGAGCTCAATGTTGGAATCCGAACAATGACCCTTAAAAGCTCTTGTTCCTTGACATATATGTCTGCTTGCTTTCGCAAGTTGATCTCATTTATGTATAAGGGGTCATTTTCCATCTGGAGAGAGCAAAGTCTTGAATGTGGCCGCTATGTACCTCTGCGTCTGAAATCCAAAAGGATGCCTTTTGAGTGGTTCAACAACAACAACAACAACAACAACAACAACAACAACAACAGGCACAAAAGCAATCTCAAGCTGCTACAAGTATGGGAGCAGCCGCTACACGCGTGGCTTGATGCCTTTTCCACGCAAGCCGAGAGGTCGGATCTCGCGGTACTTTTCACGAAGATGCTTGATGACTGGTGGTGCAACAACAACGGAAGGATCTCGTTCGGACCGGGCACGCCGCGCTGCACGAAGACGACCATTCCTTTCAAGGTCGCACGCAAGCACCCCAAGCGACCTCAACTTTGACCTCGACCTCGATCCCCGGAGCCATGACGCTGCTCAATCAGCTGCGACCACACGGCAGTGCCGTAGTCCCCCGGGAGATCTGCTACTCTCACGCCATTCATGATGAGCACCGGCTTGTACTCTTTGCCGATAAGAGCAGAAGACTGAAACAGAAGGGTTTTGAGTCTGGGCAGATCGATCATCAGAGCGACCTGGTTCCGGGCCAGATAGTACAGGCAGCTGTCTCCTCTGCACAGCTCACTATCAGCTTGAACTCTGCTTTTTATCAACGGGGAGTCCATCTAAGGACTGGAAGCTCCCCCGGCTGAAGAGAGCTTTTAGAGCTTGGATGACCGCGTAAAAAGCTCTTGAATCTAGTGCGCAGAAGATGTGCTCATCGGCTTTCTTATCATTCTTAGCTTGATCCCCTTATCCTGACCATCCTCGTCAGGCTCCAATGGCACTTGCTTCGTTCTCTTTTTGCGAGGCCCCTCGTTCGGTTCTTACGAGGGCCAAAGAGAGTTTGGACCTCGGTTGGGAGAGGCCAGATGTAGAATCCCTAATCTATTGTTAGCGATATCGTCTTCAGGTTCCGTTGAATAGAAGCCTTACCTTGGTGGGAAAATTCTCCTCCGCAGCCGATATCCTCAATAGGAATGCCATTCCTAGTTGAATGAAAGGTATTCACATTGTGCCAAGAAAAACATCGATCCATGTTTTATCACTCAGGATTGGATCGGCCTTGCCAGCCCCTCCAAGGCCACAACTGGCATTGAACATACCAGGGCATGAGAAGCAAGGCCATCCACCCATCATCTTGTCATTCAAAGTGGCGTCTTTCTTAACAGCATCTCCAAGGCCACAAAGGCATTAAACATGCCTGGGCACGAGAATCCCCAACATGCTTATGTAGGAGCGACAAGAGCAGACTAGGTGACAGGAATATAGACTGCTTTAATGAGAGCATGTCAGAAAAGAGTCGTTAAGTCGAGATAGTCAAAGCAGGAAGGCTTACCTTGTTATTGGCGCTTCACTTATGGTGACCAAATTGAATTTGATGTGTTTGTTCCGGGTTTTCTTCTTTAGGTCGGCCAAGGAGTCACTCCAGGTTTTGCAGAGCGCTGGTGGGCATTGGAACAAGCGGGAGTTGACTCCCCGGCCAGGTGGGTTCGTCTGACATTGTGCCAGGCCTTTTTCCGTCAATAGTTGTTAGTGCACTGAGGTTTAGTGCACTTGGATCAGACACGGGACAGTGATCATTAAAAAGGTCAGCTGTTTGTCGTTGTAAGTTAAGGGATGATATCTTACTGAGGGCGTTCTCTTAGTCCACGCCCTTGTGTAGCATAATTAACGTGGTCCAGTGCAAGTCCGAGTTGCTAGCTCAGTAATGTAGCGACAGAAGAAGTGATATCAGAGATGCGAAGTTGATTGCTGGGTGGAGACGTGAAGCAGCAATCTTCTGGCTTTTCTAAGAGCTTGTTAGCATCTGGCAGAACATCGGATCTGCCGAGCTTACAAAGAGATAGACGGATCTCACACTTGTCTGACGTAAGATAAGTTATTAACAACAGCCTTTCGGGTTCTATAGATATATCAAAGGAACAACTTACTTAAATATGATGAAAACATCAAGCCGGATGGATGTGTAAATCATAAAATGATAGCTATAATAGAGCTGATGCAGGAACACATCTTTATTGGAGATAGCGTTAGCATTATCTGGGACCTCTTTGTCGGGCCCGTTAAGATGTTCAATCCTTTCGCTGTTGGAAGAAGGCAATAGAGATACTTGCGTTTCTAGCATAACCGTCAGTCGAAAAGAAGAGAAAACCCTTTTGCATCAGCAATATCGTAATATTACGGACCTTGATTTTCGACTTATCTATAACCAACAGGCAGACTCGAAATAACGGAAGGTTAGGAGATGGACGGTTGAGGTCTAGCAGATCTGGCGCAACATGGTGCATGAGACGTTCCTCAGTGCTCGAAGGCATTGGCTGCAAACCTGCCATTTGCTCGTGACTTGAAGTAGCCTTGCTTGTTCATGTACGTACCGATGTTGTTCTTATCTGAAAGGTAATACTCGTAACTGAAAACGATTGCCAGATTAGCCAATGGAGCTATGGTGTGAAGGAGTGTTTCGTACAGAATTAAGGTCTAAGCGGATTTCCTATTCTGGTAAAATGAAGAGGAAATCTTACCGCATATATGTCTACCAGCGGAAGGACGCACAACTTCTCACGAGGAGTCTGCTTCAATCTTATTCTCCAAGATATGGAAGTCTTTGCAAGATGGCATCGACTAGTTGGGTGAGCATAGCCAGCCCGGATCTGCTTGAAAGTCGGTCAAACCCTCCGCAGGCTGGGAATCAGATGGGAAGGAGGAGAGAATTCCGTAAGTTACCATCCTGGTCGCTCGCCGAAATAAAGCTTTGTAATTCCTCGTTAGCAGCAATTCAAGACCGCGACAGAGTATTAAGAAGAGGAGAATGTTAGGAAGGCATACGTACAGATTATTCGACACCAGCCGAGTGCCCAGCAGTAATCGAATGGAAGCATGCCAATAGTTGCGAATAGATTCCAGCTGCTCTAGAGTAGAGTTGAGCTACAGGAGAAACATCTTTCCTCGAGATAATTGAAAATAAAAGCTCGTAAAAGCGGCGCTTTTATACTCTTGTCAGCATAGCGGATGCCCACACATCCTTTGTACACAGGCGCAAGACTGAAGAAGCCAAAGTCTGTATCAATCGGAAAGGATAAGTAAGCATTGAATTATACTCCACACGCTCACCCAAGGAGTTGTTTGCAAGTCAACCAGGTCCCAGCGCATGCCTTGAAACATGTCTCGCCTTCGCATTGCCTTTGCAACGACTGCTGGTGGAAATATGAAATCCGGCATGAAGGTTTGCTGAGTTAATCGAAGCATGCTGGAAGAGGCAGAGACCTGCCGGAGAATAGCGCGATTGTAGCAATATGATGAAAGAGAACAAAGCTGTTTGTATAAAGAAGATGGTAATACAGCGTCAACTGGTGGTATAGTGAAAGCGATAAATCTGCGCGAGAGCGAGTAGATGATTGTTTGTTGTTTAGCCTATAGCTATTCCGGAAAAGAAGCAACTCTGGCTATATTCTTGCAAAAGTCTAAACACAACCAGCTATCAGTATTTAAAAATCAGTGGATTTGACATATATCAAAAGGAAAGTAAGGTTACCGTGCAAAAATGAAAAGGATTTGACTAAAGTATAGCGGCGTGTACATCAAAGTGATAAGGCTGTTGAGAAGCGCGGAAAACAGAGGACGAACTTACTAAAGATCTACGCGACACTTGACAAAATCGCTACGCCAGAGCCACTTCCCCACGTTGATGACCTGCAATCAGAAATGCAAGTTCAAGAGCTTGCTTCTCGTTCAATCTTGGGTCGCAGAAACTGGTGTAGTTGAGAGACAGGTCGTCCTCGTTTAAGCCTTCGCTACCGCCAGTGCACTCAGTGACGGCCTCGCCAGTGAGCTCAAGATGAACTCCACCAAGATAGCTACCTTCTTCTTTGTGGACTGCGATAGTCTCTTGAAGCTCCGAAAGGATATCAGCGAATTGTCGTGTCTTAATGCCTGTAGAAGTGGATCTTGTGTTGCCGTGCATGGGATCGCACTGCCAGACCACGCTGCGGGCATACTCGCTACCTTCAACTGTCTTAATGTGTGTAGGAAGAAGGGATCGAACTTTGGACGCGCCGTAGCGTGTGATGAGTGTGATCTTGCCAACTTCAATAGCAGGGTTGAGCGTGCGGAGGAGGGTAAGGAGGTCGGAAGAGGAAGTTGTGGGACCTATCTTGACACCTATAGGGTTTGCAATGCCACGGAAGTATTCAATATGAGCGCCATCTATCTGTCTTGTACGGTCACCGACCCAGAGAAAATGTGCGGAAGTGTTGTAGTAGGATTTGGTGTCGTCTGAGACAGAGTTTGCACGTGATGAGGTTTTCGTAGGATTGTTGAGGAGACGAGTTAGACGTTGCTCGTAGTCGAGTAGGAGACCTTCATGAGAAGTGAAGAGGTCGACGGTTTGAAGTTGGCCTGCCGTGTCTGCTCCAACTGTGCGCATGAAGCGGAGGGAGTCCGTGATGGAGGAGACGATGGAGGAGTATTTAGCCTGTAGCTCTGGATCACGAACGTGTCCAAGTCCCCAGTCGAGAGGACGGTGCAGATCTGCGATTCCGGATGCAATAGACCCACGCATGAAGTTGAGAGTTGTTGCAGAGTGGAAGTAGGCACTAGTGAAGAAGAAGTGCTGGTCAGCGGATTGGGGGTCAGAAAGCAGAGAAGAGACAAGGCCTACCTGACAAGACGAGCTGGATCGAGAGATCGCTCATCTAGAGCGAAGCCATTCAAGATATCTCCTCTGAATGAAGGAGTCTCGACGCCGTTGACAAGCTCAGTAGGACTGGATCGAGGCTTTGCATACTGCCCAGCCATACGAGCAATGCGGACGACCGGCTTATTAGATCCCCAAATCAAGACCAAGCTCATCTGCAGCAGCAGCTTGATCTTCGACTCAATGGCATTCTCCTCGCAGTAGTCGAAGAGCTCTGCACAGTCTCCACCTTGGAGGAGGAAGGCCTTACCTAGAGCGACATCGCGAAGACTTGCCTTGAGTTTCTCTATTTCTGTGGGAGTGACAATGGGCGGGAGACGCTCCAGCTTTGCAAGTGACTTCTCTACGTTCTTCATGTCTTCATAGACGGCTTCTTGCTTGATTGGTTTCGAGGTCCAAGAGCTTGGAGACCACGCTGGCGCGGAGTCCAAGTCAGCGGACTTGGTAGTGCCATTGACGGAAGCCATAGAGCGAGCGAGCAGATGCTGTAGCTGTAGAGGTGATTATATCAATCGCGATGATTTGTTTTTGTGTGTTTGGGAGAAGATTCGAGATTGGATCAGAAGTTGGGAATGGAGGCAGATGGTGGAGGAGTTCGGAATATCTGGTCGACTGCATAACTCCGAACAAATTTGTGGGCTGGAATATTTCGGCCTGGCGGATCAGCTCTTGTTGCCTTAATTTCGGGTGCTACGGAGCTTTAGTGGAGGACCGGCTTGACTGCGGCTTGAAGCCGACTGGCCTGGCGCTGGACCGCCCCCGATAGCGCCTGGAGTTATGCCCCCCACCAGAATTGTTAATTCCAACGACGTCTCTGTTCATGGTCTCGAAATTACCATTTAAAATCATCTTCAATCCAGCTCCATCTCCAGACCCTCAGTTATTGTAAAGCTATTTTCTACAAACTCTCTCAGACAAGCCCTTATTCCTGCGATGGCCGAATCCCAGCCCCCTACTATAGTTGAGGGTGCGACAACAGGGGACATAGACGACGAGACCCCAGTAGCTGCAAAGTCTGCAGAGGATAGAAAGGCTGCTGCGGCTTTATCTTCCCTCGATACAAGAGAAGAGGAATCTGCCGGCAAGGATGTGGACCAAGAAGCTGTGAGGAAGGCTATGGAGAGACTTGGAGGTTCTGGAGCTACAAATGGAGTTGTCGCGAAGAAGGATGAGCAGAAGATTGTCAAAAAGTCTGTGAAAGTTGAGGCGGCAGATGTTGCTCTGGTAGTAAGTCAATAAAGTGATTCTCAAAGATATGCTCTGCATGCTTGATTTTCTGAGTCCTTCAGCAGTTGATAGTCTGTCTATTATTTCTGCTGCTGCAGACTTACTGAGACTCCCCCCTTTTTTCCAAAGATTATTATATATTGGGTGGCTTTGCTAATAGTTATATTCTCCAGATTGAAGAACTGGAGTTGACAAAGGCCAAAGCCACGGACCTGCTAAAGGCCTATGAAGGAAGTGCGGAAAAGGCACTGAGGGCCTACATCACACCCGCAGCATAAGGACTGTGCTCAAAGAAGCAGAGGAAGTTTTGCTTTCTACATGGGACTTCGCATAGCATTGGAGTTCGGAGGTTACGAAGGCACGAAGGCATGATCTTTGCAGCATAGCAAGGCACACCCGACGCTTCCTTGATGGCGACTAGGAGAGACTCTGCATTGCTTGGAAGTCAAAATATACTTGCTCTTTCTGCAAACAAACACTTCCACCCCTTCTGCGCTTCTTTGCTTCTTTCCCTATGCTGGCGGCAACTTCATAACTCAATCGTGGACACTGGCTGACCAGTTACGAGCGGAAAGATATGACGGCTGATACTGCGGAAGAAGCTCTCCAGCACTTGAAAATTTCGACCATGTAATTTATTGTCTTTCATTTATAGTAACACCGCCTTCGATGCTCTTTGGACGGATATCAGGGATTAATTTCTTGGTAAAATGGCTTATAGGCCCTAAATCTCAACATATCAAAGAGCCAGGACTGCTGGCTTCTCTCCAACAACCGGAGATCTAGGACCTCTTGGATATCCACCTCCTTCTAAGATGTAAAACAGCGCCTGTCGCGGCGCATCATAAGAAAGAAGCCGAGTTGCTGTGGTTGCATGCAGAGATCTGCAACACCAATAACAACAGCTACTCTCTTGCCAGTCCATGCATTCAAATGCTCGGCAATTTGTTTATCAAGACAGGCACACTGGGCTACGAATATCATAGCAATGGAAATGGTATCTGATAGTCCGGCGACACAGGGACTTGAAAATAGAGAAGGTGACAGCAGAATGCGTTCTAAGAAACTCACCACAGCAGTAACTCCTCGTCGGCAAACAATACCTCACGCTCTCAGCGTTCTCTTTGCATAACCACAAATATGCCAACGGGTACACAGCATCCATCGGCATGTTTGAACGATTCTCTATTTCCAGCAGGCCATTGTTGTTCTGCAGTAGCACCTCGACTGAGTAGCACAAACCCATTCTAAAAACAGCCGCCCTGTTTGGTCTTTAATCACTGGACACGAGATCACCAGATCATGCGTCTCAAACTGTCATGAAGTACACTTACTGTTGCCAGTATCTCGCCGCTCTACACTCAGAGGCTATCCATTTTTCATCCTGTTTCCAATGCCAAACCAGATGCAGTATGTATAACTCTCTTACTCTCTCCATCCTCGTTCCAACATTCAGAGCCGTATAATATGCACTAGGGATCGTAAAGGTACCTTATATAAACCATCCCTCTCCCTTCTTCCCTGTCTCTCTCGCTAACAAAATCTAAGTAATGTTTCGGCGAAACGGCGAGCTGCATCTTACACCTGGACTGCGGCCATCGAAGGAGGCTTACTTGCGATCGCACAGCATCGAGCCGCTCAACGTATGTTGATCTTCGGCGCCCCTGCTTCTGCATACGATGCGTTGTTCCGTGCTCTGGTCTGCAGCCTCTACCGCCCATCCTTGCTTGTATCGCTGGTTTTGATCCCACGAAGGATGAACTGGACAAAGGTACCTGATCCTTGGGACCTATCAGTTTGGGTTCTTCGGACGAGGATTTTAGGTAATACTTGGGTAAAAGAAATGGAGAGACTGTCCCTGGCTGCTGAAGATATGCTGTATCTAACGTGCGTACCCGCGATGCATGAACTCAAATGCAGGTGGGTGCAATATATCTTGATATAAAGAAGTAGCACAAGCTTCAGCATCTTATCTTATGCCCACTCTTTCCATCCGTCTTTCATTCCAGTGCTTCTTTTTATCTTATACGTAGCTTTTAATTTGGCATTTCACATCTTCTCCTAATGCGCCCATTGAGTAAGTCCTTGTGCTACCCTTCAGACGACCGAACAGTCTCGCTAAGCCTCAATTCAGAAGTGAGGCCATAAACAACAGAATCCCTACCAAACACACGCTCGACTTTAACCTATCTTCACAACGCTATTCAATATATACTCCCTACGCCTCGATCTTCCCTTCCTGATGCCCCTTATAAAACACAGCTTCCGAGACTCGATGTCTTTAACTAGAAGTATTATATCTCGAGACCCATCCTGCTTTCAGTAATAGGTTTGCTCCCTCGTCAGCGACTATTCCGTTGCGAACTTACCTTGATAGGAATTTCGCTCGTCCATACGCCACTGTCAAAAGGTAGCAGCAAAACTTGGCAGCAACGCAGCTCGTTGACACGCCGCTATCAACCGCGATAGCAACGTCCCTCGACAGCAACGTCCCTCGACAGCAACATCCCTTGACATCAAGGTCCCTCGTCGATATACCACTGTCAACAACAAACACACTCTCGTCCCTCTTGTGCAACCGCAAATATGCCGCACCAACCGTGCTGGGTGCCTTTTGTTTACTTCACTTGTCTTTTCCTCGCCTGCATCATCGCAGGCCTCATCGTAACCTTCCTCCCGTCGCATACAGAGCAAACCAGCCGCAAGATTTTGACACGCGCTCTAGCTGCTATCGACTTTCGCAACTGGCTGCGATATGGTGCGCACTCTCTAACAGAGGGTAACGTGCTCAGGAAGCGTGGAAATACAAGTCCGACCCGCAACGAGCTTCTGTGGAATTCTGTTGGCTTTGGGATTGTGGCGTACATCTCTTTCCTCTTGCGCATGTAAGTCTCCTTCTCCTCTCTATCGCTCAGGAAGAGAGATCGGAGACCTTGAGATGGGAAGAGCAGTTCTGACGGGAACAATAGGCTCAACCGCGGCTGGGTCTTGAGGAAGATCCAGATCGAAGACTATGGCATGTGTATCGTGATTGTAAGTTCTTTCCCCCATGGGCGAATCATCGCCTGGATTCACTCGAGCTTTGCTGATCTTCACAGATCTTCTTTACCAACCTTCTAATTTGGGTCAACGTCTCCGCCCGCTTCGATACCAACCTGTACCCTTCAGAGCAAGAGGCCGCCATCCTCGCTGATCCCCAAGAAGTCGCAGATCGCGTTTTCGGCTCCAAGATCGTCATTGCACTGGAACAATCCATGCTTCTCACCACCTGGGGCTGCAAGCTGTGCATCTGGGCTTTCCTCTTCCGCGTCCAGTGAGCCAGTCCGCTTCTCTTCTGAACCCTGAGTTCAATACTGACGGCAGATACCAGCCGGAAAACCCGTTACGAAATCATGCTGCACTTCCTCCTACTCTACATCTTCGTCGGCCTCTTGGTAATTGAAGTTCTGTACTTCTTTTTGTTCTGCACGCCCTTCGCACAATACTGGGCTGTCCCTGTCGAGAACTCCGAGGTGAGTTTTCGAGCCTTCTCTCCTTGCTTGAAAGAAATGCCATCTTCAGGCCCAAGATTCTCCTGTCAATCTCTAACCCCGAACTGTGGCAAAGTCCAGCGCTAACATATACTCTGACAAAGTGCGCCACTTACCACGTGTACTCCATCGTGCAGATGAGCTTCAACGTTTCTTCCGACATCCTCCTCGTCATGTCACCCATGCCCCTCGTCTGGAAGACCAAGCTGCCACTCAAGCGGAAATTGATCCTCACAGCCGTCTTCTCCCTCGCTTCCCTCACCATAGCCTGCGCCATCATGAACAAGTAAGCCATATCTTCCCTTCCCTCTCCTCTCCTACACACACACAAAAAAAGACGAAATACGCCAAAAGTGTCGTATATCCCTAGACCCCAAAACCATCCAACTGACCAACGCGAATAGATTCTATAACTTCGCCTCCCCCGATACCACCATCTACCAGATCTGGTACCTGCGCGAGGCCTCCGTGAGCGTCACCGTCGCCAACCTGATCTGCATCTGGCAGCTCCTGCAGCACTGCTTCCAGTTCCGCTCCTTCGACGACACCCGCATCGACATCCGCGACGACAACGGCGCGGCGCAGGTGCGTCGCGCCCGGACTTGGACGTGGCGGCGACCGACGGGCGTGATACCGTCGAAGACCGACGGCAGCAGAAACAGCACGCTCCGCACCGCCGATACCGAGTTGGAGGCCCAGGCCCAGGCGCCGAGGGGAGGACCGCTGGGCCGTGACGAGTACGTAACATTGATCTCTCCTGGGCCTCTCATCCCTTTCCATCCATCCATCCATCCATCCATCCATCCATCCTCCCATCCACACATCTCATCCTCTTCCCTCGATCTCAAAGATGTGTTGAATGATCTTCTCAAAAATGTACTTGCTAAACTCCCCGTGGCAACTGCAGACGGCGCAACACGCAGTTTACCCTGACCGGCGACGACGGCGACGCCGGCCCGGCCATCTTGTACCGCTCGTATTATAACATTTCTTGAGGCGCCGGGTCGCTTCCCTCGTCGCTTTCCTGGTCTTCTGTAACGAGCAGCTAGCTAGTCTACGCGGCGCGATCGGATTTCCTGCGAGGCCCCTGCCCTGTGAGGGCAGGGCAGAGGATAGAGGAGAAAAATCAAAACTGGGTAGGATGGGTTTCACCTAATCTCGCGGCCCGGGGTATCAACCAAGGAGGAATTTGAAGATTTCTGCAAGCGAGCGAGCTTCTTTTTACACGTGACAGATAGCTAGCTAGCTAGCTAGATACATAGATTGATCGGCTAGCGAAGAAGATATGTAAGAAGGAGAAAAAGAAAGAAAGAAAGTATAGAGATAAGACGTGAAGGAGAAGAAGAAGAAGAAGAAAAGTGTCAAAGGGAGACGCGACACAGGCTGGCGCAGACAGGCAGGCAGCTAGGTAGGGATGATTATTTAGCTTAGACAAAATTTCTCTTCTCATAACGGCATCATCTTCCCATCATCCCTCTTGTATTTCCGGATACGTACACTCCTCCCCGTCTTGGATGTGCGCATGTACAGCTTGGAGGGGGAAAAAAAAGAAAACACGTTTCCCAGCTCCGCTCGCACTTAGGCGAGGAATGTTGGTACCGATAAATACATGCGTCCCCTCTTCTTATTACTGGATGATTCATAAAGATGATGAAGATGAAATGTATAAATGCATAGATATACAAGCACCTTAGATACACTCGCCGGGAAGGCTCGACTCGTCGACGCTGACGAACGGCGCCATGACGCCCTTGGAGCACAGCACCGCCTTGACGTACAGCTCGGCGATGAGTTTGCTGCCGTCTGGGCTCGGGTGAGTGTAGTCGACGGGGTAGAACACGTCGACCTTCTCCTTCCCCAGGCGCATGAACTCGTTGGCCACGTACTGGCCGTGGTCGATGAAGCTGGCGGCCTCCCCGAGGCTCTCCACGACCTGCTTGCTCAGGTCGGTGAAGCGGGTCGGCGTGTACTCGCACTTGCCGGACTGGCAGATGTTCTTGGGCGTGGGCGAGGAGATGATGACCCTCGCGCCCGCATCGATCATCTTCTTGCCCGCCTCTCGCATGTAGGTCGGGTAGGTCTGGACGACCTCACCATCCTTGTCCGAGATACACGTCTCGTCGCCGGAGCCGCCGCAGGCCGATCGCCCGTTGTCGTTTTTCCGGGGCGAGCCCACGTCGTTGTGGCCGAAGGAGATGATGACAAAGTCACCGGGCTTGACCACCTTGAGTATCTCGTCGAATCGGCCCTCCCTGGTGAACGACCGGGCGGAGCGGCCCCCGATGGCCCTGTTCACGACCTCGATGCCCTCTAGGTATTTGGAGAAGAATTGGCCCCAGCCTGAAGGAGAAGTCACACGGTTAGCGAGCCAGTCATACTGAGATCGGGTGGGGGGGGGGGGGGAAGGCATGCGGACCTGTAGTGGGGGAGCTACTGCGTGCCTTGGCCATGGTCGAGTCACCGGCCAGATACACCGTGGGCTCCGACGTGGCATAACGCTTTGTGAGCTCCTCTGATGGAGCCGCGGAAGCGAGGACAGCCAGCAAGGCCGGGACGATAAATACGGACTTCATGATGATCGAACGAACGCAAGTAATATATGAGGATATAAATTCGAAAGTTGACCGGTTTAAAAGTTCTGAGAGTGAATGTAGCGATTGTAGAAAGTGGAACGATGGCAAAAAGACCGGCTTAGAGCTGAACGAAAGTGTTGACTTGCTGAATATAAGGAGCGACAGGATAAGATTTAGAACGTCAAAGGGTACGAGCGAGTAGCGGTACTTATCCCGAATGATGGAGTCCCAAGCAGGCGGCTATGGCAATAGAGTTCTGCATCTGCTTAGTACTACTACTACTATATCAGGGCCCTGTAATTTGCTTTTTAGGCTCGCCGAAACGAGAAGTCAATAAACCGGAGACGAGTGGCTGGGGTGCGCCTTGATCAAGCGTTGGCGAACCCTATACCACGGAGCTGGATGCCTCCCCCCCCTTTCCAAAGAGGAAACAAGTTTCACTTGAGGCAACGAGACATGGTGAAAGACATGGCTGTTGTTTGTACAAGCATTCTCTTATCTTTGTAGTAGTATCTCTTCTCTCACGTCGTCGTGTGGGGTAATATCATTTTTCTCGGATGAAAGTTGAGCATTGACAAGGGCTCCGAGGTAGAACGTATATCGACCAGGCCATTAACCCAATTAGGTAATATCCCCTTCTCCGGTGGAGCTGCGCCTCAAGACCAGCGGGGCCCGGATAGCTCGGCAATGGTTTGAATATGCGCAGTACGTAGTACTACGTAATTTGATGGCCAAGGGAAAAAAAAAGTGTAGAAAGACAACGCTTCCAAGTCTTCGTTTTTCAATCTACGCTATTCAACGCAGATTATTATTACAATTTTATAGGTGGCAAATTACATAAACAGTCGTAAATGAGGTGGTGCTAAGGTCGAGTTGTCGATTAATTCAAAGAAGTTGGTTCAACGAAGAAAAGAGGTTTGCGAGTACTCCGGAATGAGATTCTCGATTAATACTCTCCCCCCCATGAATAAATGTCGAAAGTATAATTTCGCAAGGGATCTTACCAAGGCTTGAACCAATCAACTTATAAGGATTCAGCTTTGAAAATTATCTTTGAGCCAGTATTTAGTCTATACAGTGGAGTTGACAGGGCTTTGAGCCATTAAGAAACCACCGCTCAATGATTTATGGGCCTAAACTGGGTCCGACATTTATTCATGGGGGGGGGAGAGTAGCGCTAATACTGTATTACCGCCCCCCTAAAAACGTAGTACAACGTAGCCTCCAATAAATCGGAGAAGCGTCCTCTTGGATCGGGAATATAGCATAGCAAAAGTGTATGTATCGAATTGATTCGAAATCTCATCGATGAGTATACTACTAATAGTAGTAACTCTGCTTCTTCTACCTTTTCTTTTAGCTTCAATATTCCAGCCGAGAAAAATACGTAGTACGTAGTACTACGTAGTATAACCGTGCGGTAATAATATCGGCAACCGGCTACTCTTGGTTTTAGTTCAGACACTTACTGACCTTCTTAACTTGACTGTGGCCGAGAGCTTTCAGGTTTCTACTACTACTAATTCCTGACGATGATTCTCGAAAAACCTAATTTCCTTCTACGTAGGAGTGTAAAAAAAACCCCTTGTTTCGAATTACCTCTGGCCTGCCTTGTAAGAAGTATATTGCTCGTCGTACGTACGTAGTAGTACTACGTACTGTACGTGTATTTTTCATACTATCCACCCCCGCATGAATACATGTCAAAGGAATAACTTCGCAAGGGATCTTACCAGGGCTTAAACCAATCAACTTATAGGAGTCCAGCCTTGAGAAGTATATTCAGGTCAGTTTTAAGTCTGTATAAAAGAGTTGGCAGGGCTTTAGGCCATTCAGAAACAGCCGCTCTATGATTTATGGGCCTAAACTGGTTCCGACATGTACGTAGTATTCAGGGGGAGGATAGTATCAGCGATAGAAAGTATATATACGAAATTGCCGAACCACCTCGTAAATACAATTATATAAGATGAGCTGTTCCCCTCCACACTTTTACTCTGATCACACACAATCATCATCTATTATCATCACAGTGCTTTATAGTCTTCCTATAGGCTCAATCTTCTTAAAAGCTCAACCTTTCTATAAGCTCAATTCGTCAAAAACGATCGCCTTGATATACCAACTCCACAATGCGTTTCAATAGCAACCTCTTCTTGCTCGCCTCCCTCTTCGGCGTCGGAACCGCCCTCCGCCGAAGCTGCAAACCCGACGACACCGACCCCGACAACTCCGGCAACGGTTGGTATACCGTCACGCGTGACGACAACCTACAAAAAGTCGCGTTAGATTTTTGCAGTAAGGGAACAGATTTGGCAAAGTTGAACGTTGGCACCCCCTTCTATGACGGAAATATTTACACAGTTCCTTGCAAAATACGACGACGCGATTGCGCTAGGATCCCGGGCAGTGATTATGGGTATTACACGGTCGTTGATGGCGACCTGTTCAACGCCATTGCGAGTGATTTCTGCGCCGACACTACTAGTTTAAAATCGTTGAACCCCGACACTGTCAAGAAGGACAACTCAATTACCCCCGGCTCTATCCTCCGGGTTCCTTGCGGTTGGAATTAGGTAGCTACATTGAAAGCTTTATCCGCTCGCTCGCTCTGCACATTGCGCGGCTACGATGGGCACGGGATTAGTGACGGACTAAGTTGTAGATTGGACTCTGCTTTGAAGTTGAGATCTATAAGGCAGTTGGACTGCCTTTTTTATTTTCTTCGACATTAGGGTTGAGCTCAATGTATTTCCAGAAGAAAGAAGTTAGTGGATAAAAACTAAGTCTGTCTTTATTATAAGCTGTTAAGGACCTGATTATCAACAAATTAAAACATGGTATCGACGATTATAATCCGCAAATTGGTTTTAAAAATAACGTGTCTTTATATACTATGTACTACTCGTACCCTTAAGTTCATTGAAGCTATCTCCAATTAAGAAGAGTTGTTCAGGAAGCGTGGGGTTCGATCGAAGAGGATAGAGTTGTTGCTTTGATTAGAACTATGAGACAGCGTTCTTTAGACGTACCGCTAATCGCGGCGGAGGGCTGGTACACAGCCTGGTAGAATAAAAGCTTGCAAAAACAGCGAGAACCTACCCTGTACTCCGAACGTGTGCAAAGGAAGTAGTAGTACAACGTACTACGTATACCGTAACCATCAATCGTAAAGCGGTGGTCTCTGAATGGTTCAAAGCCCTGTCAACTCTATTGCCCAGAATAAATACTTCGTACTTGCGTGAAGTTAGTATTCAAGTTTTTCAAGGCGGAATCTTTATACGTAGTAGAAGGATTGGTTTGAGCCTTGGTAAGAGAGGCCTTGCGAAATTATACTTTGTGCGTAGCAGCGCTCAGCTGACTCGACGCACGTGCTCAGCTAGCCGTAACGCAAATCGTACGCATGCGTATATTTGAGTATAAGCTAACTGAAGCAGGGGCTTAGCCGACTATGAATAAGAATCGTGCGCAAGTTGTGACTTTCCTCTTTATTCTTAACCTTTTGAACTTAAGAATAGCTTCATTTTGGAATTTTGATCGTAGGTTATCTATAGGTTGAGACTGGCTCCCACGCTTTCCCATTGATAATTTGTATTAGTCGGACTTTTGCCGGGCCATCGCTTGAGGCGCAGAAGTAGGTATTACCTGCTTGGGTTAGGAGTACAGTCGATATACCGGTACTAGTTGAAGTTTAACAAGTCCGTCGAGGCCATACGGATCGATCGATCCCTTCGTTGCATAGCGCTCCCATAGGAAATGAAATCATTGATTGATTGTATACCGTAGCTTTCGTTCTCTTGGAAGCGAGGTCGCGGATTGATTGAGGAGAGAGAAAGAGGGGCGGAGAATGGGAGAATTGGAGATGGAGAGAGAGAGAGAAAGAGATGAACTCGCGCTCTTCTTGAAACATCTGGTCGCGAAGTAGTACCTTGGCAATATACGTTGTGCTGTACCACAACTAATAGTAGCAGTATTATCTGTAAGGAACCAGAAGTTCCAGGCTGGAGCGGATTCGATCAGATGGTTGTTGTTCAAACTTCTATACAGGGGCTGGCGACAGCCAAGACCTCCCCCTTTCTTTAAATTGTCATTGGCGTTACTTACCGGTATTCTACTGCTCGCTACAAGTGGTATACTCCGTACGGAGTTACGTCTATTCCCCGACGTTTCTTGACTCGCTCGTCCTTGGATGCGTATTCGACGAATCTGAAGGAGATGGGGAGAAGTATATATATCAATTGGGAACACGAAAACAAATTCGTTCAAAATAGATGATACTGTACTATGAAACAAGGAATATTGAAAAGCTCGGCTCGGTGGAAGACCGGCGAGGGCTCTCTTCTGGAAGCGCGCTAGTATAAAAAATATATACATATACATACATTTATATAAATATAATTGAATGGAAAAGACACGAGACCGCGGACGACGGCCTGGAAGAATATCCGGTTCGGACGCCGAGGTTACCTATCTACGGAGGAGTATCTACTATCTTGAGTACATACTTTCGAAGCTAGTACTTAGTATACTCTGTACAGAGGTACTACCAAGTACGTAGTACGTAGTACGGCGTATAACGGTGAAGTGCTATAACCTTTGCTATTCCACAGCCACTATTTTAACCTAATGGAGCAGTAGCCTGACCTTAATACAAAGTAGAGGATTACTCCGTAAGGCATTTCGAGATTCTATACTTAGTATAAGGTTCCGTGCTTACGGTCAGGTTTGCTTAATTACTACGTAGGTTAGAATAGTGGCTGTGGAGTAGCAAGGGCTACAACAATTCACCGCTGTACCTCCGTAAGTTCCAGAATATTTCTTTAGCTTTACGCAGTCAAAATGCTCGCTTTCGGTCCTACGACGTTGGATTTCGCTCGCTGAATCATCTTCTTCTCGCTTCTCTACCTTGAAAGCTAGCCCTTACCGCGCACGGCTTGCCATGCACTCATTCAAATTAGAGAGTACGGCATATATTAGTACTAGGGGCAAAAGAAAACTGCATTTAATTACAGAGTATATGTGTGTGCGGTGAAGAGGAGTTAGGTTAGGTTTCCTTTAATGTGCATCTGCTACTACAACTATCTGCACAAGAAGATGAACTGCTCGAGGTATATCCGTCACAACATTCTTATTTTATCCTCTATGAAGTATCGCCTAATGTTGGAATATCGGGTTCTACTCGTATTCCTCTGTATGGACTAGCCTCTTGGCTGGTCTCTTGGCTACTCCTTTGCTATAGCTCTCAGTACTCTCATACCTAATCTACTACACCTTCTGCACTCCTGATTCTATCACCTAAGGAGCAGAAAATCCACTCAGTTTCTGTACGACCCATACTTGGAAACAAAGGTAGCCTTAAAATATCGTTGGCCTTGCGAGCTGTAGAACTATTCAGATAGATAGAGAGAGAGCGTTCTAGCTAGCGATTCTTCTCGTTTGCACGTGATTTAACCATCACCCTCTTCTCTTTCTTATCAAATACCCCTTCCTCCCTATATCATCTCTTCTTTCCACGACCCATTCCTTACCCTACGATTAACCAAGTGCCTTGAACAGAGAAGCAAATCATTAATCAAATAATATTTAAAAACATAACAAGTCATCCCCTTCCTTCACTCCCCCCTTCCCCCTTTTTCCAACGCCTCCATTACCCATCGCTCAAAGCTGCTTTCTACCTCTGACCTCTCGAGCAAAGTTTCATGGATCCGTTGAACATACTATACCAGATCTTACTTTACGCACTGCGTTCAGTTCCCAGCTCCTTTTGGTTTTTTTGTAGTTTATTTTTCATATGTATCGGACCTTTTTCCTTTTTCCTTTTCTCCGTTTGTACTTTTTCCTTTTTACTTTTTTTCTTCTTTTCTTTTCTTCTTTTCCTCTTTTTTTCTTTTTCTCTTTGAATAAGCTATTGAACTCGTTTCGTCCAGAATGTTAAATCTGCTCGCAGTACGATTTTCTTACTAAAATGCAGAAACAGGCTTCGTCTAGGTTATCAGTTTTTTTTTCAATATAATTATTTTTTGCTAGGTTTTGATGTTATTTACAGCGCCTGGAAAGTAAAGAAGTGTTTGGTTTGCTATCGTTTCTTTTTCGTTTCCTTTTCATTTCTTTTTCATTAAAGAAGGAATTTGAATGGTTTCAAGATTTGAAGTATTTTTCATTTTGATCGTTCTGTTTAGATTATGGCACGATCTTTAATAAAAGCTTGCGAAATTGATTTGACAGAAGAAACCAAATCATCATTGGAAATGCAGTTCAGGACCTAATCAGATGAAACGATATTAGATTAACTACTTACTCCCTGCAGATGCAATGGACATTATCCCGCTAACCGAATCTCCGTATCCTTTCATTACCAAACCCCACTTCCATTCCCATTCCTATTCCCGTTCGCTCCATTCGCCCCATTCGCCCCAACCCCCACCACTACCGGGACACCATACCCCTCGTCCTCGTCATACTCCAGCGTGAGCGTCGTCGGGACGGGGCTCTCAGCCGCGTTGCAATCCAGATACTTGCGCATCTTGAGCCCCGTGAGCTCGTGCTCGGCGACCATGAACGCGCCCCGCTTCCCCTTCGCGCGCCGGAGATTCTTCAGCTTGAAGACCTCCTTGAGCGTCGCGGCGAGGCTGCACCCTACCATGCGCGCGCCGTAGCAGGCGTGCAGGCCGTGGCCGAGTAGGATGTAGTCCCCGAGCGGGCGGTGCGGGTCGAGCTTCTCCGGGCGGGGGAACTGGGCCGGGTCCATAGCGGCCGAGGAGGTGGCGACAAGGACGGTGCGGCCGGCGGGGATGGAGACGGGCCCGCGCGCGCCGTCAATGACGGTCACGTCGCGGGCGGCGACCCGGGGGAGGCCCGGCACGATGCTGGCGTGGCGCATGCCCTCGAAGACGAAGCCGAGCAGCTCGCGGTCCGAGGCGGCGTCGTCCTGGTGGGCCAGCTCGGCGATCCGCGCCTTGTATTGCTCGTAGCCGGGGCGGAGGTAGAGCTCGATGAGGAGGGAGGCTTGCTGCGTGAGGTTCCCGATGACGCCGGCGCCGATGCAAAGGCAGTCGCCGACCAGGTCGCCGACGGGGAGCTTGGTGGCGTTCAGGGCGTGGTAGAGTCGGTCTGCCTCGGGGCCGACCTCGAAGGCAGAGCCCTTGGCGAGCCAGTCGACGAGTCCTTCGGTGAAGCCTTGCTGGGTCTTGAGATGGGCCTCGAAGATTGGTCGGAGGGCATCGCCCGCTTGCATGGCGCCGGCTCGAAGCCCGAACTCGTTTGCCGGGATGATGTTGAAGCTCTGGTACATAAATGTTACGATGAACGCTTTGAAAGCCTCGGGGATCGACACCAGGCCGCCCGGATACTGCTCGGTCTTGAGCGGAATGGCAAATCGTTGCGCCAGCCAGAGGACGGGCGTGACATTGGTCACGTCCCGAACGATGTCGATTGACCTCCGGGAGCTGTTTGAGTACTTAAGCGAGGACTTCTTGATGAGCTGGGCGACGTTGGTCCGGAAAAACTTGGTCATTTTGCCCTCGAAGTCGTCTTCGAACATGACCTTATGGAGGATTGCCGACCGCTCATCGTGTCTCTTCGCATCATCCCATCCAAGCATGAACTCGTGGCCATTCGTGCAATCCCGAATGGCTTTTTGGTATATGACGCGGAAATTCTCGCGATCCTCGAACACTTTCTTGCAGCCCTCGTGGGTGTGGATTCCGATGACGTCCATCCCGCTGGGTGGCCTCTCCAAGCTGTACTGCAGGATGGTCTTGTTCTGCTTCAATATCCCTTGGGCGGCTGTCGGAGTGTAGAACGGAAGCAGCACGTATGGTGATGTGCCAGTCCAGGCACCTGGAAGCGCATTGAATAGCAGATATGGCATGATCCCCCCATACGCGCCTGGCACGGGAGCTTGCAGCTTAGAGAAGCCCCAGTCGGTCAGAGTGCTACCGTTGAAATCGTAACTTAAGAACCTATCACCTCGAATCAGGGCAACGGCATCGTTCAGGATCCCTCGCCCGGTGGTCTGACCAGGGCAGACTCCGCTACCAGGCACCGCGGGCTTTGTCACTTCGGCCATCAGGCCAGGATACAGCTCGAGGTTGTCAATATGGCCGTACAGCAACCGAGCCCTCCGCGCGGTCTCTTTCTCCGGATTCCAGTCCTCGAAGGTCTCATACGGCTTGAGATTGAGGTATTTTCGGAATCTGTGGACGTCGGTCAGCGTTCATCGCGCACATGATCTCCACGTTTCGTGACCTACTCATTGAGTGTGCAAACATTGAAGGTATCCCGTGCTTGTATCTGACCCAAGATTTCCACAATCTTCATCGAGGCCGGAGTACTGTGCGCTCCGAAAGCATGAGCTGGCTCATTGATACAATCTTTGATCACCTCCGCCAGCTGAACATCGTCAAACTTGCCATCCGGACCCCTTTCCAGGCCACCGAATGTCCATTCCCTGGCTGGCTTGGACATCAAGGCATGTCCTCGCTTCTTTAACATCCCCATGAACTTCTCTGTTGTGAGATCATCCATTGACTTGAGGCCGGGTATGTCACTGTTGACAACCCATTCCATCCAGTCATTGTCGGCAGCACTGAGTGCGGCATGCCAATGGTAAAGAACAGCGAATTCGACCGAGCAGACGTTTCCAGTTCCTCGCTCGACCCGTCTGCCACCTTTCTTAATTTCAGCGGCGAGATCCAGAGACCAGGTCGAGTTGGCCCGTGGAGTGTTGAGAATCGCGGCCACGTAGTCCCGCAAGACCACGGATGCAAAATAGCCAACATTGATGTTGCGCGTGATCTGGAAGATGTCTTCATCTTGTCTGGGCGATGGCTTAGTACCTCTGCCCAGAGGGGTTTGTGTGGGGGAGGAGGAAAAAAAAAACTCACGCCGTCTTTTCCTCCTCGCTTAGAGTATCCCAAGGCTTGTACTTCCCATCCGCGTTGATCGTCAACAAGTTCTGGGCTATGTGATTGTGGTTCCGTGAGAACATCAGCAGAACGGCAACCACACCCGGCGGCATCATCATGATCCTCTCGGACGCGATCGAGTCCGGGTAAATCGTCCCATTCTCGTACGTCCTCACCCGCGCCTGCTCCTTGATGGTGTTCCCATATAAGGTGCTCAAGTCGGCATAACTAGACGTCTCATTGATCCAGGGAGTCTCGCGCGATGTCTGGAAACACTCGTGGATGACCACCGTCGCAAAGGAGAAGAACAGACGGTTCAGGCCAGAGGGGTGCGGGCGGAACGGGCCCGTCCGCTTCAGGAGCTGGTCGAAGACGAGTTCGGGATCGGGGAGGTTCGGCCCCTGGCTCTTGAGCGGGGGCACCGAGCGCGAGTAGGGCGAGCCGGCTTTCCCCATCTCCGAGTCCCACGGACTGTTGCCGCCTCCGTCGTGTCGTCGGTACCTGACTGTCGGCCCAACGAGCGTTGGGGGCGGATGGGGAAGATCGTGGTAAAGCAAGGCAATGAACTCATCCGAGATCTTCTTGCTCAAGCCGCTGTCTAAGGAGAGGGTTTGAAGCATGCTGACGCCGTGCTCGAGGAGCAGCTCCTTGTCGTCCATGGGTTCGCCAGAAGCGAGCGTGGAGAATGCTTGGGCCACAGTTGCGGCCTGGCCAGGGTTGAGTGTGAGAAGATCTTTGACGATGGATGTCTTTTCTGCTGCCACGGGCGGAGCTGCTTCGGCGTCGGTCTTGCCATCTGGGGCTTTACTGGGCTTTCGTCTAATGGTGCCCAGCAATGATTTGAGGTTGTTAGGAGCCATGGTATCGTGTCGTCGATGCTTCGGTATGGGATGATGAGGTAGGCAGGTAAGTATATTTCGGATAAAGTCCAATTGAATAGGTCCTTCCTCGGTAGACGGTTCTGGTCTGGTCTGGTCTGATCTGATCTGATCTGATCTGATCGTTCACGAGTTGAAGTTCCTTGACCTTGACATTGGTATTGTGGTATTGAATAGAGAGAGTGTAGATGGTATTTAGACGGAATTCCAGGGAAATAACTTGGGACTGGGACGGGGGGACGAGGAAGACGCAACCCCAAAAGCTTCAAGTGGAACCCAGGGCAAGAAGCTTGTCACATTTCATTCGCTGTCACTCAATTGATCGCCTCTCCTTTTATTTGTTGATCGAACACGGCAGTAGTGCTGCATTGTATGTCTTAGGCGTTACAAGGACTTGACACCTTTGTGCAGCTCGAGCTCTCCTCCGCGTATTGTGCTCCCTCCTTTTTTGTTGAAGTAATGGATTTTCTTTTTCAATTGGAGAATACTAATAATGAAATATTGAAATAGCGATTAATTAGCTTAGAATATATGTATATGTGGATATGATCGATGCAAGGATTATCCATTGCTGCTGCTGCTGCTTGCGAGAGCTTTGGTTGATACTGCAAGCTCTTTGTTCAGCTGGTGGACGACCGACGACGATCCAATACTGCTTTCTGCGTCCCGCGTGAGGGTGGTGTTGCATAGGAGGAGAAAAGAGGCTGGCTGAGATTCGTCCTTTTGTCCAACTAACCGAGGTGAGAGAGAGAAGTGCACGTAGAAGCTGTCTGTCGTACATGCATGCGGTGTGTCGTCAAACCAGAGACAATTGATATCTCTTTAGCAATCAACGGAGCTAGTTTCGAGTCATTCCATTCCATTGCGCAGCTGTGGAGCTGAAAACCGAAACTGGGCTTGCAATACCGACGAGAGCCATTGGTTTTACTTAGAAAAAGACCAGACGCGATTTCGCAGATCATGTATCACCCCCCGCTATTTCTTTCTGTGCGTCGGTACGGACCGCTTGCTTTCCTGCACTGATGTACGGACAGAGTACCAGCTGCATCAGCTTGCATAACATAAGCGAACATCCCGAGCTCGCTAAAATGTTTTGTTTCTCGTCGATGATGGACAAGCGAGCGAGCAAGCGAGCGTACAATGCCTTGCATGTTATGTCTATCACACACACAGATCGCATCGGAGGGGAGGGATTGGCGGGTTGGGTTGGACGGGTGCGGCTTGCTGGGAGATGGAGACTGAGTGATAGACAGACAGGTGACATGACAGACAGCTTTGGAGCACAGAAAGGCAGACAGCTATCGCCCATCATATATCGTGGACGAAAAGCATTGTCTGCTAGGAGAGAGATATATACTATCGAGAGACATACGTACATACACACATACATACATACCGTACCATGACCACTCGAGTACAACAAGAACAGCAATAACAAGAGGAACAGCCACAAGAACACTGGCGACCAAAATCCTATCCCAGCCAGACCTGTATCGATCGAGGCCGCCGCGACAGTTCTGTAGCCCCAGCTACGACTGATACCGCTACCATGGCAAGCACGAGTCCCCAGCTCCCACAAACCATTCGTGCAGTACGGGACTCGAGCGCTCCATATCCCCACATCCGCACCCTGGTGATCTGCCTCGACGGCACTGGCGACAAGTTCGACAACGATAATAGTAATGTAGTTAACTTTGTTGCTTGCTTGAAGAAGGATGATCCGTCGCAGGTAACCTATGTAGGTTTGTTCGTTCGCTCGTTCGTTGCCCGCACTGGCGAGGGCTTTGATCTCGCCTATTTATTTTGAAAGAGAGCTTCTCGACCTCTTCTCAATATCCTCTTCCTACCATACTGATAAATTTCACAGTACCGTAAGCTATCGATCGAGGTACTCTTATCTCTTCAGCTAGACATTTGCTGACGCTCCCGTTATCCAGAGTCGGGAATTGGCACCTACGATGGCCACGGCCTTAAGGGAGGGATTTCCGCCGCTGTCGATAGTGAGTATCTCCCTCTTCGCTTCTCGCCTCGTTCACAGAGTAGATTTCAAGCAAGCATGCTCCGAGCATACAAACTCATCTCTCAGGATACTTCAAGCTGACCCCCACCCCTTCCACAGTGGCCGTCGGATCCGGCCTCGGCATCCACATCAAAGACGCCTACCGCTTCCTCATGCAGACCTACCGCGAGGGCGACCGGATCTGCCTCCTCGGCTTCTCGCGGGGCTCGTACACGGTGCGGTGCCTAGCCGGCATGCTGCACAAGGTCGGCCTCCTCCCGAAGCACAACATGGCGCAGGTGAACTTCGCCTACAACTTCTACAAGAACAACTCACCCGAGGGCTGGGCCATGAGCGGCGAGTTCAAGCGCACCTTCTGCATCGACGTGAACGTCTACTTCGTCGGCGTGTGGGACTGCGTCGCGAGCGTCGGCTTCATCCCGCGGAAGCTGCCCTTCGGAAAGAGCCCGACGAACTCCATCTGCTACTTCCGCCACGCCATAGCGCTGGACGAGCATCGCGCGAAGTTCAAGGTCTGCCACTACGTGCACGCCAATCCGAACGATGCGCAGAAGACGCAGCCGGTGGGGGAGAAGTTGAGGCAGGAGACGGATCAGGATGTTGGTCGTCTGTATCGGCTGTTCAGTTCTTGTTTTGGGATGAAGCCGACGCCAGGCGTGGACGATGACGAGGAGGAGACGGCAAGGAAAAGATCGGGCTCGAATGCGGGATCTAAGAAGGAGAAGGAAAAGGAGAAGGAAAAGGATGTCGACCAGGAAGACCTGGAGCAGGAGTTCGAGAAGGCCGATCAGGCGTCGTCGTCGCACGGCCATACCACGGACTCCAAGGAGGTGTGGTTCGCAGGATGCCAGTAAGTGATGATTTTGCAACGTCTCCTTCCTTCCCCTTTCCTTTCAGACAGTCGAGTCCAGTCCCAAGATGCTACCCATCCCTCAAACATCGACCTCTCATTCCCGTTCAAAGTTCAAACGAAAAGCCCTTTCCACTCTCCAGCATCGACACCATCCGGATTCCCCAGATGCCCCAACGATTCACTCAGACCAACTAACCAACTCCTCTTCACTCGCACAGTGCAGACGTCGGCGGCGGCGCCGTCCCCAACGGTGAGCGACACATGCTCTCGCGCATCCCCCTTCGCTGGATGCTTCGCCAAAGCTTCGAGTGCAACAGTGGCATCCTATTCAACACGGCCGCCCTGGCCGAGACGGGCATCGACGTCCCGACGCTCTGGCCCGTCTACCAGACGCCCACGAAGCCCGTCCTCGGGCCCTCGCCGCGCACCGTGTCGGCCTTTGAGAGCGGCGCCTTGCCGCCTTTGAGCAGGCGGTCCACGGCCCTGGGCGTGGATGCGAAGAGGACGAATGCAAGCATAAAGGGAAAAGAGGGAGCGAAAGAGGGAGGAGGAGAAGAAGGAGGAGGAGAAAGTACATTCGACCTCCTTCCCGAGCAAGTCGAGGACTACTTCGATGCGCTAGCGCCCATGAACGACCAGCTGGTCATGGCCAAGGGGTGGTGGGTGCTGGAGTTCTGGCCTGTCAAGGTCCGGGTGCAGCGGAAGGGAAGCGAGGAATGGCGCAAGGTGGTGCGCATGAATATGGGCCGCTTCCGGGCCGTCAGGGAGCTGGAGCCGAGCATGCACTGGACGGTGGAGAAGAGGATTGAGGAGTTGAAGGGCGCGTATCGCGTTCGGAATGTGGTGGATAAGGAGACGAGGTGGGTTGTTGCTGTTTGAAGATGGGGAAGTGGAGTTAGAAGGAGGGAAGGTCGGCTACATATATGTGTATATATATATCAGTTGTTTGTATGTAGGTAGTCGATGGAGCGTGGATGGACAATAGAAAGAAGCGAGATCAAGTAAATAAAAATCCACCATTACTATACCTCACTACTGAGCAACAAACAAAGCCAAAACCAAAACCAACAAAGCGATAATTTTGACCCGTCTGCGACATCTCGGAAACTGTACCCGGGCCCTTACAATATATACGAGGACACTCACTCATTCTACAAATCCGCAATGCCGACCGCAATTCTCTCCCAGCACAACAAAAGTAGGAAAATAAAAATAAAAGATATACATATATATATATATATAATTCTGGTACCTTAATTCGACTAAATGAAAGGGTCCTTCACTGTGAACCAAGATTGGCAACGGGAAAGCAAAAAGCAAAAAGCAAAAGCAAAAGCAAAAGCAAAAGGCAAAGGAAAATATGCAATACTCCTCAAATCCTCAAATCATTTTAAAACTAATACAAATCCTGAATTTTTATACACTATGCTAGTTTTGCACCGTTTCTTTTTCTTTTCTCTTTTTTTTTTCTCTTTGCATATGTTATCCCATCCCCTGGCATCCCATCATATCCGCCAATCTATCGAAGACGGACGAGAGACCTCCACTCGCTTTGTCAAACAGGCATGGAAGCTTTGCTCCATAATATATATATATATATATATTATTTTTTTAGGAAAAAAAAAAGTATCTCTTTCGGTATCCAGCTCCGTTTGCCCATCCCATATCCTACTTTACTCTACCTTACCTTATCCTTTAGTCCAACTCCGGTTTATAAAAACTGACGTAAAACCC